ATGATGGAGCTTGGTTGTTAAGAGCTTTGTATGTTAGGAGTAATATTTTAAATTCTGTTCTGAATTTGACAGGGAGCCAGTGGAGGGAAGATAAAACTGGAGAAATATGATCTCTCCTTCCAAATCTCATTAAAACTCTAGCAGCAGCATTTTGGATTAACTGAAGACTTCTTTAAGAGTTTTTTGGAGCCCAGATGATAAAGAATTACAGTAATCCAGCCTAGACGTGATAAATGCATGAATCAGTTTTTCTGCATCATTTTTTGGCAAAATATTTCTAATTTTAGTGGTATTACACAGGTGGAAGAAGGCTGTCCTGGTAACATTTTTAATGTGGGGGTTAAAAGACATGTCCTGATTAAAAATAACACCAAGGTTCTTTACATTAGAACTGGAGGCCAGATTAATGCCATCCAGAGGAGGTGGAAGGCTACAAAGTTCATCCCTAAGATGTTCAGGTCCAAAAAACCATAACCTGTCTTATCTGAGTTTAGAAGCAGAAAGTTAAGAGTCATCCATGATTTTATGTCTGTAAGACATGCTTGTAGTTTAATTAACTGGTTAGATTCATCAGGTTTCATGGATAAATATAACAGTATCATCAGCATAACAATGGAAATTTATCCCGTGCTGTTTGATAACTTTACCTAATGGAAGCATAAATAAAGTAAAGAGGATTGGTCCAAGCACTGAACCCTGAGGAACTCCATGACTAACTCTATGGTGGAGGAACATTATGGTGGCCCTCAGAGGGCCAGTTGTAGTTAACTTTGGCGTATCGTGTTCAACTTTGACTAAACAGTGTTTTAACATGTCCTCTTTTAAACACTGTTAAGAAGTAAGTGTATGACTGACTAAATCTGAAATAAATAATACAGAAATTCCATTAAAAGTAAAACTAATAGTTTTACTCACTGATGAGTTTCTAGTGAGTAGCTGCCATCTTCAATTCTGAACTCTCCCACTTGATCAACATGCATTATGGGAGATGTAGTTTATGATTGATGCTGACTTTAAAGCAGCTCATTTTGAGACATTAATACTGTGTTATCCAATTAAATTGCTCAGTTACTTAAATCCAACAGCTCAGGGCCAGTACAATTATTATTATCTTTCACCTCTTAAATTTATTTTTGTTGCATTTAATTCTAAATTTAAAGTTTACCATTGATAATAAGAAACAATTTTCAAAATGAGTAAAAAAAAAAAATAGGAAGTTAAAACCAAAACTGAGCCTGGAAAGACAGTAGGGGCCTCTGCCGAGCAGGACGAGGGTCCGAAAACCAGGTCAAACTCAGGACCGAAGGCAGAGAGCAGTCAGGGGAGCATCGTGAAAAATTTGAGAGGAAAGTTCCAGAGTCACAACTAAAACTAAAGAATCTGCAGCGTCTTTAATATTTATATCAAAATAAAACGTCAGGTCTGCTGACGACAGACGACCAAAGATACAAAAACACAGTTCCAGTTCAAATACTGACCAAAGGTCAACGGTTCCCCAAAAACAAACCTGGCGGGCCAGACGAGAGTCATGGGCCTAGAGTTTGACACGTGTCCTAGAGTGATTATTGTCCTGGGGTGTAAGTGCCCAGGGGTAAATGTCCAAGGGGATAAGTGTTTGTGGGTAAGTATCCAGTGGGATAAAATGGGCTAAATGGGCTAAAATGGTCTAAATGTCTGGGGAGTAAATGCCCAGGAAGATAAGATGTCCAGGGGAGATAAGATGTCTAGGGGGAGATAAGATGTCTAAGGAGGATAAGATGTCTAGGGGGGGATAAGATGTCTAAGGAGGATAAGATGTCTAAGGAGGATAAGATGTCTAAGGAGGATAAGATGTCTAGGGGGNGATAAGATGTCCAGGGGGGATAAGATGTCTTAGGAGGATAAGATGTCTAGGGGGGATAAGATGTCCAGGGGGATAAGATGTCTAGGGGGGATAAATGTCAGAGGGTAAATGTCCAGGGGGATAAGTAGCTGCATTTCCATTGCAAATGTGCGCAAAACTTTGTCGAAATTCTGTTAATGTCGAAAAACACAGTTTCGTAACTGCTGTGTTTCCGTTAAGTAAGAAATACTATTAAAGTCCCGCGTGAATACGTTTGTTCTCGCGATAAGTCATTACAAACATGGCGGCAATGGATGTAAACACATAGCATGTTGCTACCACGACACTAGCGCTCATCATCAGGGGAGACGTCGGCGTCTTTTATCGAGGCTTTCCAGAGACAAGTCCCTACTTGGGAGTGGCTACGTATGCTGTGTTTTTGGGAAATTGTAGTTGGTGGGTTTAATACTTTCTTTTACTACTTCTGTGATATTACTACTACTTACTTCCTGTTATCTTCTTCGTCGTCGTCTTTTCTCACCAGTAGAAACAGCCGGTTGTTGATCACGTGACTCCCGTGATGCGAAAAAAGTGTTCCCATTGCAGTTTTGCGAAAAGCACCAATTTCGATACGGCCGAAAAACCACCTCATCCTAGCGCAAAAACATTTTGTCGAAAAACGTAATTTTTTTAGAAATTGACGTGTTTCCATTGAGCAAATTTATTTTCGAAATTCTAATTTGCGCATTTTCATGGTCAATGGAAATACAGCTACTGTCCGGGGAGTAAATGTCCAGGAGGATAAGATGTCTGGGGGGGGATAAATATCTGGGGGTAAATGTCCAGATATCAGAACCAGCAGGAGAATAACAAAAGCTTCTTGTTGTTTCAGGCTAAAGAAGCCATTCTGGAGATGGATTCTATCTGTGAGCGCAAACCTTTTTTATTTTCTACCTGTTGAAGTTGTTGATTATTGTTGTTAATGTTGTTTGTTATTGTTGTTGTTAATGTTGTTTATTGTTGTTGTTAATGTTGTTTATTGTTGTTGTTAATGTTTTTTTATTCTAACTTACAGCTGGTAAAATAAGTATTGAACACGTCACCATTTTTCTCAGTAAATATATTACTAGAGGTTCTAATGACATGAAATTTTCACCAGATGTTGGTAACAACCCAAGTGATCCATACATACAAAGAAATCAAACCATAAA